AGGAGAATGGCAGGCAGATCCTGCTAACCACAGTAACCCGGCCACCACGTCCTCCCAGGCGTGATGCTGTGGCACCCCACCTTCCACACCATGGCCAACCCATGCCACCCACCATGCCCAGTGCCCACAGTCCACCACCCACCATGCCCGGTGCCCACGTCCACCACCCACCATGCCCGGTGCCCACGTCCACCACCCACCATGCCCAGTGCCCACGTCCACCACCCTGGGTGCCATAACGACTACATCTCACTATCCCAAATTACCATGACAACCATCTCTCACTACCCACAATACCACTGACAACCACAATTCATTACCCACTGCACGGAAACAACCACGGTCTATCACCCACAATCGCACCATGGGAAACCACATTCTACAACCACGATTCTACAGCAAGCACCTTCTGTTATCCATAGTACTCAGGCAGCAGCGATCCATTACTCACATATCTTGGCCACAATCTACTACCCACAGTGCCTCGGCAACCATCTTTCACTACTCTCGATGCCATGATAAGCCAACACCGCTTCCCACAATGCCATGAGAACCACCTCCCATCGTTCCCAAGGCCTCACTGACCCCACTCAGTTTCCCACGGTCATCAGCAGCTGAGTCAGCCCCACCGGCTCTGCTCACCCACAGCGAGTGGCCTGTGATGCTCTGGCTCCCCTGCCTCCCACCCTCCGCGTCTGGGCCTCTGGACATCCCCGCCATCCCAGGCTCCAGAAATGTCACCTGATCGCCCACAGTCGGCACAGGAGATGAGGTCCTCGGGACACCCTGTCTTCTTGGAGCCACCCAAGCAGAAGTCACAGTAGCCGTTGGGGATGACAGTGCCGTCAGGCGCCTTCTTGGCTGAAAGACAGCAGCCAGGGGTTGACATGGGGCAGGCAGGGGCACCCAGGCAAAGGCCGCTGCAGAATTGGGGAGAGGGAGGCGTCCCTACCTGTGTGTTTCCTCTGTGCCTCAGGGACCCAGGCCAATTCTTTGTAAAACTCTGAGGTGAGGGAAGAGAAAGGGGTTCTCACCACAGGCAAGGCTCCCCCTGCCCCCAGCCTCAGCCCCAGAGGTGGACCCCTTGGTCCAGGCATGGGAAAGGTGGGCAGAGAGAGTTGCTACCCTGAGCTGTGGCCAGTAGTGAGAGAGTTGGGGGGACAAATGCTTCCCATCAGGACCCCCCAATTCTTGGAGAAGGACAGCTGATGCTTCCTCTTTCTTGGGCAAAAGCTCAGCAAGGCCAGGTTTAAAAAGAGGCCCGGTCTCTCTGCTCATACTCACTGCCACCAGACAGGTGGCCCTAACTCGGCCCTGACTGGATAAAAATGCTGTAGGTGCCACGGGCCAAGATCTGATACAGAAACAAGACCGACGTTCTGAAGGAAAATTCTGAACAGAGGTGCCTGGCTGTGTGCTGGGGTGGGATGAAGACACTCACCCTCTCCCTCCAAGACACGGGTGGGGAGACAGGTTCCTCCACTGGCTGAGCCTCCCCCCTTCCCCAGCCCTCAGCTGTTGGGGTTGGCATGGGATTGGCATGGGTGGATGCCAAGGGCTCCCAGGCCACAGACCCTGCCCCTTGGCCAAAGCTTAGCAGAGGAGGGAGAAGGGGAGGCAGGGAGGGAGGGGAGTCATCTATCATCCCCCTCCCCAAGCTCTAATTGAAACAGTAAATCAGACCCAGAAATATTACACCCGGCCTGGAGCGCGGGAGAGATGGTTGGTTGCCATGGCAACCCCAGAGCCAGCATCCCCGTGGTCGGTGGGGGGAGGGGACCGCTGAGCTGGAGCTCTTCCAGAAATGTCTACCATGCCCGCCCCCCCAGGCTCCTCGGCCCCCGCTCCCAGCCCCCCGCCCCCGTTCCCACCCCCACCTGGCCTGCCTGCTCACGTTTGTGGTTGTTTTTCCGGTGGAAGGGCAGGGCGTGGCGCTCGGTGCTCTCCTCCCCCTCCTCCTCAGCCAGGTGGGTGTGGGTGTAGTGGTAGCTGAGCCCGGGCCTGTTCTTATACCGTTTCCCACAGACTGGAGAGCGGGGAGGGCTGGTCAGCCCCTCCAGCCCAGGCCGCCTCCTCCTGGCCTCTGGATCACGCCTCCCCCCCTCTGCCAAAGGCCTGAGCGCCCCCCACCCAGGTCCAGAATGGGAGGGAGGGGCCAGGAGGGGGGAGGTCTCTGGGCCCCACTCTCTCTCTCTCTCTCCCCCTCTTCGGAAGGACTCACTATCACAGACATACGGCTTGTCTCGGTCCTCCAGGGAAGCGGTGTCCTGGCGTTTCCGGAGACCCCCGATGCCATATGCCTGGGGGCAGAGTCGGGAGTGAGGGGCAGGAAAGCCAGCAAATGGAAAGGGCTTTCATTATTTGGGCTTGGGAATCAAACTGCCACCTCCCAGCTGCAGGGCCTCGAGCAACTCCCTCAGCCTCTCTGCCGCTGTTTCCTCATCTGCCATGTAGTAGGAAGCTAGTTCTCACCCACTGCACAGTGTCTGTTTGTCAAACGGCTTAATCGACCTGAGTCTCAGTTTCCTCCTCTGTAAAATGGGTATAAAATCCCTACGCCTTGGGTCTTCTGTGGGGATTAAATTAGGTCACACCTGAGGGCAGGGTCTGACGGTCACGTGTGCTCAGTACACAGGATGTGATATCGACTGGAGGGGTGTGGGGAGCGGCTCTGGGGCGATACCTTTCCTTTAGCTCTGTTTTTCCTCCTGGGAATGTCGTCCTCCAAGTCTTCCACCTCCAGGTCGTGCGGAAACTCCAGCAGCTGCTGCTTCTGGGCGCCAAGAGAAGGGAAATTGGGGTCAAGAAAGGGAGGGTCAATGTCCTGTTCTGAGGGGGGGCTCTGGGAGAGACAAGAGGTCTTCCAAAAAGAGCAGGGGTGTGGGAGACTGGAGGTTTGGGGTACACGGCCCGAGGGAGCAGGGAGAGCTTGAAAGCATCATGCAGCGGGCCAGGGCAGGGGCGGGAGGGGCCCTGGGGCTTGGTCCTACCTGGCAGTCCATGACGGCCTCCTCCTCCTTCGGCTCTGTCTTCCTCTCCCCTGTCTCAGCGCACAGCAGAGCCTCGAGGACCGGCCCCTCCGGGAGGCCACCCTCCTTCTTCAGGGGTGCCTCACAGTCTGGAAACAGGAATATGGGGAAGTCAAGAGGCTTGCCCATACTCAACCAGCAACAGATGCAAGGGTCGAGCCACACAGGCTGGAAGGAGGCTGAGACCCGGGGAAGACACAGATCCACTTGGACACTCAGGGGGAGTCATGGCGAGATCCTTGGATACACCCAGAGATTCTCAGGAAAGACAGGCCTGCAGGCACCCCCAGACCTACACAGGGAAGAACAGCCAGACCGTGGATACACTTGAACGCATATGAGACAGCAGGACACACAAAGGCAGAAACAGACCCTAAGATGTCCCCGGACAGAGAGAGGGGACATATCCAGACCTTGGATCCACTCGGAGATACTCAGGAAGAGACCTGTTTGGACCCCCAGACACACGGAGACCCACACAGGGAAGACACAGCCAGACCCTATGATACACTCAGGGAGAATCAGACACTCAGGCTACACATGGGCGTATACAGGGGAGAAGCAGACAGCCCTCGGACGCAGTTGACACACACGGGAAAAGCCCCAGCCAGATGGACACTCCAGTTCACCTGGGCACACAAAGACCCTGGGGGACACCTGGACAGGGCAAGTGAAACAGCTGCTCACTCTGCTAATCCTGACACGTTCTCTGATGGGCCAGAAACACACAGACCTTAATACACCAGACCCTAAAGGGAAGGGACTCTCCCAGATACTAATGCGAAGAGACAGCCAGATACCCTGCTACAGTCAGACACACTCAGGAAAAATACACCTGGAAAGAGACACAGCCACTCTGATACACCCAGCTACATATGAAGAGTTACAGGCAGACATTCTAACACAGCCAGATGCACGCAGGAGGGAGGACAGGCATTCTGATACAGCCAGTCACAGGACAGGGCGCTAAAGAGTCAAGTGCACTCAGGCACCCACATCCTGGTACATCCCAGCTCACAGTGGAAGAGATACAGCCAGAGACTCCAGACACCTAGACACGTGGTAATAGGTATCACCGTGCCCTTGAATACACCCGGGTCCACACAGGAGATACAGCCAGAAGCTCAGTCACTGGGGGAAAACGGTAGAAAAATGTAGACACCAGGCCAGTCACTCTGACACTCACTAGAAGGGGGATAAAGCTGATGTTTTACGTGGGATCAACACACACTTAACAGCGCGTGCGGGGGGCACTGAGGCGGGCCACAGCAGGCAGAGGTTTGCCTCTCCACCCACCGATCTTGTACTCGCAGGGCCGGAGTCTGGGGTCTTCCAAGATGTTGAGTCTCCGTTTCTTCCTCCAACAGCGGGCGGGGTACGTGTAGATCTGTCCGGGGGCCAGACCTGGAGAGACAGGCGCGGTAAGAGGGCGGCCTCGAAGCCGTCGGCCCCGCCCCGCCCCGCCCTCCCGGCGGGTACCAGGCCCGCGGTGGGTCTTCTCCATCCAGATGTAGCTGTTGTTCTGGGCCACGCCGGTCTGCGAGTCCAGGAAGGGCAGACGCAAGCTGCGCTCTGCGCACAGGCGCGCGTTGTAGCTGCGGCAGTGCTCGATGGCCTCGCGGTAGAAGTCCTCGCCTAGGCTACGGGGGCGAGTGAGCGGGCGAGCGGCTGTCAGCAAGGGCAGGCCCGCCTGGCTGCGCAGCACCCCTCTCCCAGTCCCGCTCGCCCAGGGTCGAGGTTAGGTGGGCTGACTCCTCCAACCTCGCCTCTTTCCCCCGGATCCTCCTAGACCCAGGGCGAGGGGTGGGGAGAGGATCAAGGGCCTCCCCAGCCTGGGACTCAAGGAGGCTTCCAGCTAAGGAGGAGATACCCACAATGTAGAAACGGGCAAAAATCGCCCATCCATACATGCACATATCCGAAGACACAACACAAACCAATCACACATATTCACACAGGATTCACACACAAAGAGAGACATATCCCAAGACTCACAAAGGACAAAACAGACAAATCTCACACATATGTGTGCACGCACACACACACAATACGAATATTCCAAGTCACATAGTGTAGAAAAGACAGATCACACATATATCCATGCACAAATCTACATCACATCTGAAGACGTCTTACACAAACAAATCACCCACGCAGGACCCACACACAATGTGGAAACAGATAGATAAAACACACTTATGCATCCAAAGACACACACAGTTACACAAATGTCGAAAGGCACCAACTGTAGAAACAAATAACCCACATATACACTTACACACATATCTAAAGGCGCAACACAAACAACACACACAATATCTGCAGGCACAATGCAAAGAAATCACACAGCTTCACACAGGAACCACACATACATTCACAAAAACACAACATAGGAACCAATGTCTCAAATAGCACATCCCAGACACACAAAGATACACATGTGCTATAAACTACATTGAAATAGACAAACCCACACCGTATTTACACACAGATAGACACATCCCTGCACATCTAAAGACACAGCAGAAACCACGCCGAGTTCCCGAGGACAGGCACACACACCCAGAGACCCAAATATCCAGAGATGCCTAGTGCAGAATAAAAGGAACCACACACGTCAAAAAACCCAGAACACGAACAAGTCACACACACCCTTCACATCTCAAGACAAAGGTAGTGTAGACTTCACTCGAGTTTACCAAGGCCCCCGCGCCCCCAGACCGTTTCACCCTTCTCTCAACCCCGAGGGTCGTTGGGTGGGGACGCTGACCACCTTCCCCGAGTTGGGCCCCGAGGCCCCCCACACCCTCTGCCCCGCCAGGAGCAACGCGTCGGACATCATTCTTGCCAGAGACCCACAGTCACACACCTCGCACCCCCGCGCAGCCCCGCACACCGTGACAGCCCCCCAGACACCCCATCAGCCCCGTCCCCGGCTGCCACACACACACACGCCCGCGCAGACCTGCCCGCGCGCCCTCCCCGCCTCCCGCCGGCCCGCACCACCTCAGGGGGCCGGGGATGACCGTGGCCATCTTGCTCCCCGGGTCCTGCCCCCAGCAGGTCTCCGCCGGGTCGGTCCTCCCAGCGCTCGGGCGGGCGCCGAGGCCGCCCATCCATTCATTCCTGGGGGGTGGGAGGACGGGGGCCACAGCCAATGAGGGCGCTGGGGCGGGCCCGCCCAGGCCATGCTGGGAGAGGTAGTCCAGGCCTGGGGGCCGGCCCACCCGGCGGCCGGAGGGGCAGGGGCGGGGCCCAGCGGCGGGCACAGACACTCCCACGCTCACACACACACACTGGCTCGTACACACACCCTAGCCTGACACGCATGCACTCACATACGCACACCTGGACTCACGCCCACATTTTGCACACTCATTCACACACAGTCACACTCTCATACGCTCCCACCTACACACCTTCACACGGACTCACACAGCTACACTCACATGCATTTATACTCACACGCGTATTTCATACCAAGGGACTTAGAGGCACCTTACAGGTGTCCACCCAGACTTCCCCCAGCCTGCAGATGGCAGCTCTCACGCACGTGGCTCATTGACACTGCCCCCCTCGCAGTCCCTTCTGGTTCCGGGGATCCCTATCCCACCCTCCCTCGAGATTGTCTCTCACCCCAACCACACTCACAGTCACCCCACCCCACACAGCCCCTTCCACAGGCATGACGGCAGCCACACCTCCTGGGTTCAAATCCTGGCTCTGCCACTTGCTGCTGCTGGCCACGTGCCCTTGCGAAGGACTTGACCTTTCTGAGCCTCAGTTTCTTTACCTGTAAAATGAGGGTGATGCCTCCTTGGCTTGTTGTGAGGATTAAATGAGTAAATATGGGGAAAATGAGTAAATACGGGGAAAGTGTTGTAAAAGGTAGCAGAGTCCCTGGGTGTGCCAATGATTAATGTGTTTGGCTGCTAACCAAAAGGTTGGTGATTTGAGTCCACCCAGAGGTGCCTCGGAAGAAAGGCCTGGCAATCTACTTTGAAAAATCAGCCATTAAAGACCGCATGGAGCACAATTCTACCGTGACACACATGGGGTCGCCATGAGTCAAAACTGACTCCATGACAGCTGGTTTGCTGGTTGGTTCGGCATGTAGTAAGTGCTCAATAAATGCATCCATTCCACAAAGGATCTGCTTTGTACTAAGATGTAAACTGACAGTAGCTAACGATTATTAGGAAGAATACTGCCTTGCAGAGTAGATGCTCAATAAATATTTGTTGAATGAATACATTTCCTGAGCATCGACTATAATGCTAGACGCAGTGCTAAGTGTTTTACAGAGGTTAACTCATTTGACCTCATAACAACCTTCTGGAGTGATACTATTAATATCCCCATTTTCCAAATGAGGAATCTGAGGCACAGGGAGATGAAGTTACCTGCCTGTGATGACACAACCCTTAGCCCCTGGCGGCTGTTTGAAGGTGGGACTGAGGAATCGGCTCATTCATCCAGACACCCTTCTGTCTCCCACTATCACCCACACAGACTCCACCCTAAAGAACTCCCAGAGCCGGGTCTCTACACACACATACACACGCAAACACACACCCACTGTCCCCCTGGGTCACAGTTTGTGTCTAGCGTTTGAGCGGCTGCTTGGATGAAAAAGCGGTGGTCACACATGCCCACGAACACGCTCATCCACCAGGGGGCAGTCCTGCAGACAGGGAGAGGCACTCCAGCCTTCCCCTCTTTTGTAACTTGATGCCCCCTCCCATGATCAGTTCTCCACACACACACACACATACCTCTACTCTCAGATCCCTTCCACAAACTTCCTCCTCTGGGCCAGATAAGGCGGTGACCTACCCCTCCCACATAACCCCAGCTGGGGTCTCTGCTTCACATCTGGCCCAGAGTAGGTGACAGGTAGGTGGTAAGGGGAGTGAAAGATGCTGGCACCCCATCCCCACACTCAGACTGGCCTCCAGCCCCTGTAGTGACCACCCCATACTTCCTCCACAGTGAGCCCTGTCCGCCCAGACCCACTGGCTCCCCTCAGAGGGAGCCCTTGCCACCACCTTCCTCTCACCTCCCACCACCGCACAGATCCCTAACACACCTTCTTACACTTGTTCCCCACACCTCTAGTCACACACCCCAGCTCACTCCCGCCTCACATCAGAACTCCGGCATCAATTTGAGCCCGTGGAGCCTGAGTGTAGACACCCCATCACCTCCCCAGAGGTCCACCAGCAGGGTCTGAACCCATAGAGCCAGGCTGGCACTTGGAGAGAGGTCTCCCCTATTAATAATCATACATGTAGTCCCGGGTCAGGCGCTGTACTAAGCGCTCATAAATATCACCTTATTTAAGCCTCACAATAGCCCCAAGATGTAAAAAGAACTGCAAAACCAAAAAAAAAAAAAAAACCAAACCCATTGCCCTCCAGTCGATTCCGACTCACAGCGACCCTATAGGACAGAGTAGGACTGACCCATAGGATTTCCAAGGAACAGCTGGTGGATTCGAACTGCAGACCTTTTGGTTAGCAGCCGAACACTTAACCACTGCGCCACGGGGGCTCCAAAAGAACTGTTATGGCCCCCAGTTCACAGATGGTAAAACTGAGGCTAGGGGGAGGAAATTAATGGCTCAAGCTGGGATTTGAACTCCAGTAGTCAGAACGCCCGAGGGCTTCGTTCTCCAGCTTCCTGCTCCCAAGGAGATTGGTCGCTCACATTCCTTCAGGAGCGAGTCCCTACCCTCACCCCTGCAGGCCCCTGGGAAGGGGAGAGCCGACAGGGATGCTGGGACACCCACTCCACACTCCCTCTGGCCTCCAGGCCCCCGCAGAAGCCGGGATGCTTGTAGATCCACCACCTGGCACAGGAACCCTGTTCCCAGCCTGTGTGAGGTGTCCCTCGCAGGAGAGGCATCTGTCCGTGTGTGCAGCTGAGGGTGGGAGGGAAGTGCACACCACCGCACGCTGACCCTGGCCGCATACACCCCCCTCAAGCCCTCTATGCCCTCACCTAGCCACCCTAGACGGCGCGTGCCTACAAGCTCCCGCCCCCTACACACCCGTCACTCGCAACCTCCCCCCGCCAGAAGCGACCAGGAGCCCTTTGGTCCCACCACCAGACGCAGCCCTTCGCGGGGGTCGCTCCCTCTCCACTCTTCCCGCCCCCCCCCCTCCCACTGCACTTATTGCTCAAGGTCAAGGCAGCGAGCGCACAGGGTGGGGAGAAGGGTGGGGGAGGTCGTCCCGGCCTCTTTGTGCGGCGCCGCGGGCGCTCGCCCCCCGCCTCCCCCCAGGCCGGGGAGGGGGTAGGGGAGTGCTGCGCTCGCCTGCGGGAGAGGGAGGGCGGGAGCGGCCGCGCGCCTGTCACTCCAAGCCCGCTGTCACCGCCTGGGGAAGGGGCGGGGGGGGGAACCCTGGGACCTGGGAGTCCGGGATCCAGAAGAGGGAGAGGGCAGAGGAGAGGCGGAGAGAGCGAGCAATGGCAAGGAGAGGGTAGGGACGGGAGGGAGCTAGGCTCGGACCCAGGCGTCCCGGCTCCGAGGCACTGGGCACGGGAGAAAGCTAACGCTACAAGGAATGACGCGGGCAGGGAGGAAGGGAGGGGATCCCCGGAGGGTGAGGGCGCTGCCAGCACCCCCTCCCGAGGCTCTCGTTAGATGTGTATGGGCGGGAGGGGAAGGGCTCCTACGGTCTAAGCTGACCGTAGTGTCTCGGCTTCTGGGTCCTGGGCCAGGCCTGAAGACCTGGAGACGCAAGGGGGGAGACAGCAGGAGTCTAACCGGGGACCCCCGACGCCTCAGCTCCCACCCTGGAGCCGCGTGGGCCCGGGACCCGGGAGAAGGAGGGAGGAAAGAGAGAAAGGCGCCTTGATGAGGGGAAAGGGGATGGTGGAGACCCGGGAGACTGGGGTCGGGACCCATCCGGGGGCCCCCAGAGAGATGGTGGGGGAGAGGGAAGCCCCTGACCCCTTGGGTGGGGAAACTCTGCCTCCGCCCCCCCACCCCCAGCCCGCGCCACATTCCTTCACTGACAGCGACAAAGAAGAGGCGCCCCCGCGGCCCTGAAGGGGCTCCCGCCCCCAACCCTAGGGAGCGACAGGGGGTGGGGGGCCCCCTGGGGCGGGGGGGCGTACTGGGGGGGGCATTCAACTACCGTCTGCGTGCTGCGACCCCCTCCCCAGCTAGGGCGGGGGAAGAGCTCCTGGGAGGGTTCAGGTCGGGGGCAGGGGTGGCTGCGGGGACACTCACGACTTGAGCGGGTTCTGAATGGCGGTGGCCATGGCCCG